GGTCAAATTGAACTCCATCAAAAGTGGGGAGAACAACGTTCTTCAAGACCTCCTCCTTCCCCATCAGCATTCTGGATTAGTTTGCCTGGCCCCTTTAAATTCAAATGTGTCACTGGTTCGACATTAGAATGTTCAGCCAATGTGGAGTGGGTGCTACCTTCCTGCAGCTGCACCCTCTCACCTTCATGCATTCTTTGCCACAGATGACTTACCCAACCTCCCTGGGGCAGCATGAAATTAAGTGGTCACTATTGCAGGGCCAAGCAGGACTTTTGTGGAGTTTCACCAGATTGGCTTGGGGGGCAGCCCCCCCTTTTTTGCCTGCTCTGTGCTGTCACTATGGCAAGGTGGTCATTTAAATAGGCCCGGTTGCAAACTAGTTAGGTCACAACTAGTTTGGCAGGTATAGGGCGGGTTGCTCAGGACAGAGAGGGTCAATTGGCAAACACCTGGAGAAATCTGGCATGATGGGGGAGTGTCCAGAACAGGCCATTATATGCCTTGTGACTGAGTGTACTGTGAAGGAGAATGCTTGGTGCTGAGCAGCATCTTTGGAACTTGGTAGGAGCCTTGCAGCATATTAGAGAAGAAGGATGAAGCTTGGCACCTCTCAGCATGTACCATTGTACAGGTGGTGATGATTAAGGCCAGCAAAGCACCAACTGAGTATGGAGACATGGTGGACCTGCCTGAAGGCAGACCAGGTGAATGTCTAGTGTACCTTCCCTCAAAATGATCAGCTTATTGAAATAAGCAGTGATGTAGATCAGCCGTTTAATTAATTTAAATAATTTTTAAATAAACAAGTTGAATCCATACTTGATTATATCATGTCATCATTTGGGGGGGGTGTTGGGGCAATAGTTATACAGTATTCATTTATATTAGAAAAATAATTAAAAGTAGAGAATCAGTGTTCCTCATATAGATTTTAGGGTTATGGATTCCCACACACTCTTCCCTTCTAGAAGTTAGCAAATATGATAGACGATTGTTTAAAGCCTTTTGGTTCAGTGCTAAGCTTTGAGAGCCAACAAAAAAGACACAGAAAATCTTTATATGAGGCTAAGTCAGTTCACCCAGCATGCTAACAAAAACTTAGGTCAAGGATCACTACCGCCAAAGAGCCATATTCTGTTCCCGTATCTCCATGTGGAGCTTGCAATGAAATCAGCAGGGTGTGCCTATATAAAGGAATAGCTTAGCTTTGTGTTATATATGGGCAGCTAATATTAGGATAAAAAGCTGTCTAAGTTGTAAGATTTCAAAAGCAACCCTTTGAGTCGCCATCCTATTTAGCCTTCTGACTTAATGGGGTGCATATAGCAATTTTTTTTCTGAAATAGCTTGATTTTGGTTTTTCACCACTCTGAATGCCTATGCCATTTTGCAGTGCTCAGCCCACTTCATCATTTTGTCTTGGGGTGTAGGCAGGGCTGGCCCAAGATGTTTCTGCACCCTAGGCGAGGCCAGCTTTGGGCGCCCACACACCCCAGGTGATGCCAACCTCCTGGTGGGGCCTGGAGAAACATGCTGCCCCCCCCCCCACAAGCTAGCTTCGCCCCTGCCCGGGTCGGGCCCAGCCAGGCAGCTTCCTCCGAGAAAGGGCTCAGGTCAGCCAGGGGCAAGGGCGAGCATGCTTACTGCCACCCTGGGGCCATTGCCCCTGCAGGCCAGGCTATGAGCCGAGTGGGGCCTGCAGTGGAGATCATGGGCGGCGGTGAGGAGGCCTGGAGCAGGAAGGAGCCTTGACTCGCAGCGGAGATCATGGGCAGTGGCGGGGGAGGGTGCGGAGGGGGGAGCCGCTGCCCTCTGCCCGCTCCCTCAGACCCTCTGGCGCTTCTGGCGGAGCCACCTCACTGTCACGCTGTTCCTGGTGCTCATTAACCCATGGCCGCATTGAGCCCGCCCTACCCACCCTACGATTGGTCCAAGCGGGCGCCTGTCGAGGAGGGAAACTCAGGTCTTTTGCTTTCACTGAGTCTCTCACCTGCTCACACACACTACTCTTGCCCGCTCGCTTCCTCTCGCCCTTTTTTGATAGCCACGGGAGCCGGAGGCGCAGACGGCGGCTGATTGGCTGCGGCAGATGTCATTGGGGAATGCACCACGGCCACCCCTCAGGCACCTGGCTGTGGCTTTCCACAGGAGGACCATGGTGGTGGGTATCCCCGTGCGGAGGGTTTCGGAGTCCATTTGCATTGCAGCCGCTGCTGCCCTTGGTGTTGTCAGCGTGGCTGTGGAACACAGAGTACCGTGCAACATAATGCAAACTCTGCCTGGACTGACAGTTCAACACCAGTGTGGTGGCAGTCCCAACAGCGGTGAGGAGGGTGCGGAGGGGGGGGCGGGTCCAGTCTGGTGCCCTAAGGGCCGGCCCGCACTCTAGGCGAATGCCTAGTTCACCTAGCAGGTGAGCTGGCCCTTTTTTAAAAAGCATACTAGCATTAAAGTGTGGGCCAGCAGTAGACTGTGTGTGCACAGAAAGAACTATCATGACCAGTCAGAAGGCCTGAAACAAGTAGCCAATTCTTGCATTGCTGGGGAACATTCCTTAGACCACACTTTAGCATCATGCCTCGGTGACATTTTCAAATTCTGTATGTAGTGTGAGTGGACAAGTTGAGGCAGCAGCGAGAGAACTGGCTTCCCAACAAGGCCCTTGCAGACAAGGAAACCAAGGTGACAAGAAGGGGCCAGCAGCCTGACAAGCCCCAGACAGGTGGCAAGCCAGGACTGTGGCCAGTGATCCCTCTAAGCTGAGTTAATGTGAGCTAGCTCACAGTTTCTTAGCCTCCAGCTCACACATTTTTCCTGAGCTCAGGAAGTATCACTCCAGAGCAAACTAATTTATGCAGTAGCCAAATTGCCCGCTCACAACTTTAATGCCAATAGCTCACAAAGTAGAATTTTTGCTCACAAGAACAGATAAAAGGAAGTACTTCTTCACCCAAAAAGTGATTAACACATGGAATTAACTGCCACAGGAGGTGGTGGCGGCTACAAGCATGGACGGTTTCAAGATGGAATTAGATAAGCATATGGAGCAGAGGTCCATCGGTGGCTATTAGCCACAAGGTATAGATAGGGACTCTGGGGCAAGTGATGCTCTGTATTCTTGGTGCTGGGGGGGAGCAACGGTGGAGGGCTTCTAGTGTCCTGGCCCCACTGGTGGACCTCCTGATGGCACCTGGTATTTCTGGCCACTGTGTGACACAGAGTGTTGGATTGGATGGGCCTTTGGCCTGATCCAACATTGGCTTCTCTTATGTTCTTATGTTGTAACCCATCCCATGTCTGCTGCGCAGGGGACCAAGGGCTAATAGTAATAATAATAATAATATGAAATAAATAAATAAATATGTGCATTGTAAGCTGATCTTCTGTACTCAATATACTTCCAAAATAATTTAAATCATATATGCAATATTTTTCCTTCATGAATGTTAAAAGATTGCTAACTAAAACATGATCTCAGTAAAAGTAGATCTCAGTAAAACAGTAGATCATCATACATTATTCATGGGTCTCACAAATAATCTGTTTCACAGGTCTCTCAAATAATATCAACTTTGCCGTTTTTATTGGGCTTGGTTGTCATGGGGATGTAGAGGGTGAGAAGAACTTTCATTTCTGGCTGCTTTGCCGTTGCTTGTAGTTATCTTTCTCGACTCAGGCATATAACCTTGAGCCCCAGTCAAGACGGTATCATCTTTCCCCTGGGAACTATGGGTTGTTATTTCAGTGGGCCTCTAGCTTAGGTGTGATTGGCCCTGGACCATTAGGGTCCTGCTTGATTTAGGTATAGTAGCTGGCTTCATGCATTTCCCCCTAGTTCTAACACATAAACGTTAAGAGCCTGGATCCTATCAATGTCTCAATAAACCTTTTATTCCTTTGAATGACTGTTGTTGAGAGCTAATTTCTCCAGGGGTCTGACAAATAATCAATTTCATTCTTGAATTGTGCAGTAAATTTTATAATTTGGCTATACTACTCTCCTATTAAGATAACTGGACTATATTGTATGGTATGCATGATGGAAATGGTAGCAGTTGACAGCACTACAAGTCATTCTTCCATTTTTTTTAATATTCTAGCAAAAATAGTTTACTACCAAGAACAATCTGCAATACAGAAAGTACCCTAATAAGGAAAGAGCAAGAGTTAGTCTTTAAGGTGTTACTAGACTCTTGCTCTTTTCTACTGCTACAGACAGACTAACATGGCTACCCATTTTAATTAGGAGTATCTATAGATTCTAATGTACATAATGTGGAAAAGAATGTGAGGAATTGTAACATTATCAAAGAAACAGGCATACTACCATGGAAAATCAACATAGCTTGCTACATTAGCTGATTCTGCTATGAAGTACTGTAATTGGTTATTGGCTAAAGTCTCCACTCAGCCTGGGAAATGTGCTTTCCCAGAGAACTAAGCCTATCCCAGGGCAACAAAAATGTGTAAGCCTCTGAAATATAACCAAGACTGTAAACAGATATGAACATGTTCATACTTCAAATGTGACTAATATAAACTCAGTGCAATTTGGATTTGAACCCAAACATCAGTTACAATTTTTATACCTTTTTGTAGAATAAAATGACCACTTATTTAGTAGAAACTAGAGGCATCCCCCCTGCCACCAACACTTAGCAGATTTACTAATGGTATAAGCATCTTTTGGCAGCTTCCAATGCAGCGTATAATATATGAAGCAACGCTGAGGAACTAATAATCACCATTTTGAATATGGTCTTATATGAAAAAGGATTATTCAATCACATTAAGAACAAATGGAACATACTGTAGAAGATGACAATGTCTTACTGATAGCATTTCTATTTACCTTTCACTTGAACTTAATTTTGGTATAACAATTAGTACAACATAACATGAAACCTATTCTCACTTAGCTTGGAGGGAAACTGTGTAATAGCGGGAAAGAACCATATCTTACTTTTATCACTGCTGATGAATGAAAGCATAGTTTTTACCTTCAGCTTTTCTAGGTGATCTTGGAGAGAGTCAATCAGCAAATCCCCAACCGGCTGCCAAGACCCCTTGATAGCTTCAGCCTGGCGCAGCTTCAGGTCTAGGTCATCCATTGCTTCTTGAAGCTCCTGCAGTCTTTCAAGGGCTTCATCTATCGTCTTTTGCCAGTCAGAAGATTGTTGATTCAGCTTATCCCATTCTGTTTTTACCTCATCTGCCTGCTTTCTCAGGAGTCGACTGACATTCTGGGCCTTTTCCTCTGGAGGCAGCTCTAAACATGAAACGATTTATTAGACTATGCAAAAGCTAACTGAATATAAATGAAAAGAACAGTTAAAAATTATCAGATGCATTTGGCAAGAGCCAAAATTTCAGAACCACAGCATTATTTAATACTCACTGTCTAAATATGTTCAGATACCACATATGGAAACTTTATTCAACCCTAATCACACAACTGCTGTTTTCAAGCAGCCTTTGTGATCTTATTTAATTCAGTACTGAAATGGCACTGAAGTGGGCCACATGGAAGCATCACTGACACTACAAGGGCAAAGTATAAAGTGGTCTTAAGCTTGAAAAATACCAAGTCACTTTAGTATAGTTTTTTTTTTCTGGGATAGTACATTGATAACTAATAATCCAAAAATATAGGAAACTTGCAGAGACTTGGGCTTCAAGTTCTAACAGGATTCTTTGGTGCTATTCTATTTCAATATGTCTTTCTCCCAGGCTGGCATTAAACTAGAAACTGGATATTTAATCATGATGCCATTTTTTTTAAAGCTTTGGAGTCTTCTTGGTTCTTATGTATGGTCTTTGTATTTTGTCTTTTCATTTCTGTTATTTCTTGTGTTAAGATTGCAATGCCCTTTGACTATAAGCAATAAACCTGTAATTGAATACACTTGTTTTATCCCTTTTCAGGCTATGTTTATAAATATGCAAACACACAATTTACAAAAGGATCAGACAGTATCTTGCATATGGTCTCTCAGCTAATCTCTAGTGCAACTCATGAAAAAGGATGATTTAGTTTGCAGATACACAGGTGATACTCTGAATCTGAAATAAGTATGTATAGATCTTTTAGTAACTGCTTATTCTTCTACTGATATATTATTACAACATAATATCCAATTACCTCTAGGTTCCTGGTAGAGCTTTTCCAGGCCCTCCAAAGGCTGTTCTGCTAGGAATATTCGTACTGTCTCCAGTGCACTCAGGATAACAGGCTCTTTAGTTTTTAGTTCCCTCCTAAAAGCCTATGGAATGAAATAACATAAAGGAAAACTGACATGATACTTTTGCTATTGTTATCATTTTGTACAATATTTCCAGTTCAAATTTGAACTTATTTTATAATGCAACAACAGGTTAATGACAGTTTAAAAATGGTGAAATCAGTTTAGAATTCCCATAAAGTAGGATGGTTTTATATTGCATATTGTAAATGTAAATAATAATTTTTTTTTTATTGGATTTCCCATCAAGTTTACATACACATCAATTACAAATTTACAAATACATCACTCTCAATAATACTAAAATATACAGTTCCAACTATAGCAGATCACCACATAGGTCATATATATCTTATATATCATTTGGTGCATTAGTAATTATTTCACCATAAATGTAATGAATCTATAATATCAGGGATTTCTTTCTGTTGCATCAAATACTGTAATATAGGAGACCACGTCACAGAAAAATTAGATCGTGTTCTTTGAGAGCAGGAATCATTAACACTCTTTGTAATTTTTGCCATTACATACATATTCCATAGCTTAGCATGCCAGTTCTGTTTATTTGGTCTCTGTTTACTTTTCCACTTTAGAGCAACAGCATTTTTTGCCGCTGCTAAAAGAATAGCAATTTGCTGTATTGTACTCTCTACTGGTATATCTATACTCCATTGATGTAAAAGAAGATGTTCTACAGTATTTTGCAGTTTTATACCCGATATTTGCTCTATGGTTAAGATTATCTCTTCCCAAAAGGGTATCAAAATAGGACACTCCAGCCAGCAATGTGTATATGTTCCCAGACTACCACATTGTTTCCAACACAATGATCTTGCCGTTGGCACCATATGGGCCAGCTTCTGTGGAGTCAAATACCAAAAAGTAAGTATTTTAAACATCTGAAGTTTTATGTCAACAATATTGGTACTAAATGGAAAGTTCAACCATAACTTTTTCCAGTGATCATCATCCAAAGTTTGTGTGCATAAAGTTTGCCATTTAAGTTGATATGATAATGGTTTATCAACATCCTTTGACATTAAGATAATATATAACTTAGAAATTAAATGTTTCTTTGAGCTCCAAGCATATTTATAAACTTGTTCGAATTCAGATAGCGGTTGCGACATGATTGTATTTATTTTTATTTGAGAACATACATGTTGTATTTGTAAATATTGATACCATGGGATAGTCAACCCCAATTTTCTTTCCATTGTTGTTTTCTCTATTAATATCTTATTGGATGTTATATCTTCCAGAATATTGAATCCAGCTTTTCTCCAAGCTTCTTGAGGTATCATAATGCTTGGAGGCAATATCCTTTCTTGGTTAAATAGGGCTTGGTATCTTGATATTTTAGGCACCAACTGTTTTCTTTTAGTATCCCATGTATTTAAAAAAACTTTAAAGATAAAACCTCTAAGGAAAGATCTAAAAAAATAGAAAAAAGTTTTATCTTTAAAGTTTTTTTAAATACATGGGATACTAAAAGAAAACAGTTGGTGCCTAAAATATCAAGATACCAAGCCCTATTTAACCAAGAAAGGATATTGCCTCCAAGCATTATGATACCTCAAGAAGCTTGGAGAAAAGCTGGATTCAATATTCTGGAAGATATAACATCCAATAAGATATTAATAGAGAAAACAACAATGGAAAGAAAATTGGGGTTGACTATCCCATGGTATCAATATTTACAAATACAACATGTATGTTCTCAAATAAAAATAAATACAATCATGTCGCAACCGCTATCTGAATTCGAACAAGTTTATAAATATGCTTGGAGCTCAAAGAAACATTTAATTTCTAAGTTATATATTATCTTAATGTCAAAGGATGTTGATAAACCATTATCATATCAACTTAAATGGCAAACTTTATGCACACAAACTTTGGATGATGATCACTGGAAAAAGTTATGGTTGAACTTTCCATTTAGTACCAATATTGTTGACATAAAACTTCAGATGTTTAAAATACTTACTTTTTGGTATTTGACTCCACAGAAGCTGGCCCATATGGTGCCAACGGCAAGATCATTGTGTTGGAAACAATGTGGTAGTCTGGGAACATATACACATTGCTGGCTGGAGTGTCCTATTTTGATACCCTTTTGGGAAGAGATAATCTTAACCATAGAGCAAATATCGGGTATAAAACTGCAAAATACTGTAGAACATCTTCTTTTACATCAATGGAGTATAGATATACCAGTAGAGAGTACAATACAGCAAATTGCTATTCTTTTAGCAGCGGCAAAAAATGCTGTTGCTCTAAAGTGGAAAAGTAAACAGAGACCAAATAAACAGAACTGGCATGCTAAGCTATGGAATATGTATGTAATGGCAAAAATTACAAAGAGTGTTAATGATTCCTGCTCTCAAAGAACACGATCTAATTTTTCTGTGACGTGGTCTCCTATATTACAGTATTTGATGCAACAGAAAGAAATCCCTGATATTATAGATTCATTACATTTATGGTGAAATAATTACTAATGCACCAAATGATATATAAGATATATATGACCTATGTGGTGATCTGCTATAGTTGGAACTGTATATTTTAGTATTATTGAGAGTGATGTCTTTGTAAATTTGTAATTGATGTGTATGTAAACTTGATTGGAAATCATAATTCTATTTGTCTCTTTCCTTTGTTTAACTCTCCTTGTTAAATATTTTACTGCTCTTGACGTATTTTGCCAAGATTTTTGCTTTAGATATAATAAATTCCTCTGTATTTGTGTACTATCCACAATTTCAAGTTCTCTTCTCAAGGATATTAACTTCTTATAAATTTTTTTATTTCCTGTACGTTTATGAAGTGTTTCTAAATTAGTGATTTCTGTTACTAATTGCGTTCTTTTTTTCTCCCTTTCCTTTTTTAAATATGCAGCTTTGGCTACCAATTGCCCTCGGAGGACCGGCTTAAAAGCATCCCATATGATAGATGGACTAACATCATCTGTTATATTTTCCTCAAAATACGTTTTAATAGCTGTTTCCATCTCTATAGCACATTCTTGATTTTCTAATAAATATTTCTGCAAGACCCATGTTATCTGTTTTTTATCTGCATTTAACTCAAATGTGCATTCTACCCAATTATGATCTGACCATTGTAAAGTACCAATGGTTGAAGATTGCACTTTAGCTAACAACGCTGGGGATATTAAAATATAATCTATACGTGTGTAAATCTTATGAACTTGTGAAAAGTATGTATAGTCCCTTTCCCCTCTATGAAGCTGCCTCCACACATCTATAAGGTTATACTGTTCCAATAAATCTGCTAATGGGGATGGTTTAGAAATTGCCTTCCTTTTTTTATTCGGTTTTCTACTATCATAAGATCTGTCTAAAGCAGAATTTACAATAAAATTTAGATCCCCACCAATAATAAGTTCTCCTTCCTGGAAGGAGTCTAACTCATGCAGAACAGACCTAAGAAATAAAATTTGATTATTGTTTGGCGCATATATTACAATTAAGGTCAGAACAACATCATTAATACATCCAGTAACAAATAAAAACCTACCCATTGGATCTTTAAGTGATTTCATATAGGTAAATTTAGTGTTACTTGATATTAAGATTGCCACACCTCGAGCTTTTGATGAACCATGTGTAAATGTAATAATAAAAGAAAGGAATAAGAATGTCATATATATTTGAGGTCAATGTGCTATGCTGCAAATAGAAAGGTACTCTGACAAAGCTGTTTACTGTTCAACTATACTTTCTTCTGTGAACAGTATTGGATTGTGTAGAGCTTTTAGATCTAGCTAGAAAGGACAAGGTTTAACTAGAATTGCACTGAATAACACTGAATAGCACAGCTAAAGCTGCCAAAGAGGCAAAAGATTTCCTAGAATGGAAATCTGCAGTGATCCACAACTATAACTTTGTTTTTGCTAGCACTTTAGTAACAAAACGTAGTGTTCTAGTCTGGCCATATTAACAGCTTTCAGTAGGTGGCAAGATTTATTAGCCTTGCCCAAACAAGGTTAACTGGAAAGTGAACTATAGGATATTAAACACAGCTAAAGATGCATACTTTTATCAGTAATGGAAGCATACTCAAATTCTCCATGCATTCATAGATTCTCTTAATTTCCTCAAAGTAAATTGTAAGGCTCAACATGTTAGTATAAGAACACAGATTCTGCACATTCTGTAGTAGGTAACTAGGACAGGGATTCTTTACTCTTGGTTATGAGATACAATGGAATATTGCATGATTATGGAGCTCTACCTGATGTAGCCATCAGTGGGACCTATAATACTTGTAGCTAAATTTCTTCTAAATTTTGTGTTTAGGGTTGAGAGTCACCCTTTTTCCGTGTCTTTCCTATTTTACCCTTTCAGCAAAATTTATGATACTGTCTCTCTTAATCTGATGACTAGGATACAAACAGTAGTGAACAGTATGCTAGCACTGTAAAGAAGCAAGTATGCAATTGTTTGTCAAAGATGTTACTGTCCCTTTATATTTACTATACATCCTGCAAGCACAATGGCTAAGAAAGATACTGAGGAAGGCAAACCAAATGCTAGAAATTAGTAATTTATGCTGTGTGTAATGCACACACAAAAAAATCAAAACATTATTCCCATACTGTAAAGCAAGAGACACCTTCTTTCTCCATACTTTTATGTCACTCTGCAAACTGGAATATGACAATTATGAGGGGACAGCCAGAGAGGCTGAGTCTTACAAAATCCAATGCAAAAGCAATTGTGTGTGTGCAAATTCTTTATGCTAAAAAAAAAAAATCCTCCTACCATCACAGTATTAAAAGATGGGTAGTCATGTTAATCTGTCTGTAGCAGTAGAAAAGAGCAAGAGTCCAGTAGCACCTTACTTAAAGACTAACAAAATCTGTGGCAGGGTATGAGCTTTTGTGAGTCACTAGTCACTTCTTCAGATACAACTAGAATGTGACTAGAATGTTCCATATTTTGGAAAGCGAAGTGATTTCAGATGCTGAATCACAGTGGCCCATTCTG